ATTTTATTTTTTTTTCAATCTTGACAAGGATAGATTACACCTATAATATATTAGTCTTTAGCCCCTTCGTTTATGATTTTTCTTTCACGGTACTGCAGTCTTTAAAGTAACTTTGATATTAAGAATTTAAGTGTAGATTTACTCGAACAATTTTCATATTAATACCAGCAGAAAAGTATGTTACTTCAATTTAAAGAGAATTAATAAGATTCGTATTTGTTAAATTCACGAATTTAACTAATTGGTTGTAATTAATGTAACAATACAAAATTTGTAATTGTTGCTAGAAAGCAGTTCTCAATTTTCTCTCCAGCCAAATAAGGCAAGACGTGATATGTAAACACCAGGTTATATTGTATTATGTCCCAAACTTTTTCAGGCACGCATCCCCCACTCCTTCAAGGACACTTGCCTGGATTCAGTATTTCAGAGGTCGAAGAAACTTCTTGCGGTCATTCAGTGGTGTCACTTCAAACTCAAAACATCATAGACAGTGTTAGTACATTCTTTAAATATTCTCAATTATTCTTCAAATCCACGTCCATATATTAAATGTCCGAATAAATAGTGCACTATATTGTGTTAACAACAATAAAATTTATCTTCGTTCCACAATAATCGTCGTGATCTTCAAAGAAGAACACAATACAAAGTATTTAAAATTTATTGAAAAAGTATAATGAATTTCTCATTAGTGCACTTAATATTTGACATTCACATCTTCTAACAATCCTGTGATTTGATAGATCATTATATTAATTCTTTCTTCTCTTTTGTGTAGTTCGAGGAGTGGATAAATGAAATATTAAGTGAGTTATTTCGTGGAGAATTTACTCCACGAACGGTGTGTGTCGAGGAACAATCGAATCAAGTGTTACATTGTCTGACGATCGAGTGGGGAGTATGTTTTGGGGTGGGGTGGTTACAAGCGTAGAAGTGTGATCCAGAGGGGTCCAGGGGGTCGATGATTCTGCTGGAACTTCCGAAAACAGCCTCTAGGACGCAGCTGCTCCAGGTATTTGCGTGCCCCAATTTTCACCCTGTCGGGGGTTGTGTGGGGGATGGGTGGTCGGTTGCTCTCTTTGGTCTCTGCGCCCTTTCGGATATACCGCTGGAGTGTAATGGAGCCCTAAGGTTTCACCTTTAGATGTAACGCCCTTAATTCTATCATTTTGGTCCCATTCTAGACCGATCCTCTCCATCATTTAGTTTTCAATAGTACCATTTGCACTGTCAGTTACTTTTATGCTCAGTTTGTTCTAGTGTTACATATTATTTGTTTATGCTATAGGAATTATTTTAACAATTTTTGTTAAGATAATAATTATAGTTTGTTTGTCTGTTCTTTATGATTTAGTTACTTATTTATTTATTAACCAGTGAATTTATAGTTACGTGAATCCTATAAAGGTAGCAATAAATTACATGTACATGGGCCTGGCTTAACAATGACAAAGAAAAAACGTACAGTAAAATAAAAGATTGAAAAATAATTAAATATAGTTGTTTATTATCGAATAGAATAGTGCAGTGTTCTGGAGTCTCTAATGTTCTTTAAATAGAGGAAAGTACTGAATAATGGTATCAGCCAGTGAATAGTGTCCACCTTTCTGTATCCAGAGTAAAGAAAAGTGAATGATTTAATAATTATTACAAATATTGTGAAAAAAGAAAAATGCTTGCATAAATTTCTAATTAATGATTTTCGAATAGAGCGTGTAAGATTAATTTGAATCAGTTTTATTCGTCAGTGAAAGCAGAATAGCGTCGTTCCTTGATCCATGGGGCTGTGAGACAGAGGTATATGTATAGTAGATAAGTATCTAAAACTCAGGGTGTAATCCAGCGTGAAAATTCGAGGTGAGGTTCTCTCGATCAAATCCTATTACTCGATTCTTCATAGCGGATTCAGCTGTACTGTCATTGTAGATCTTCCCTTTGCACACAATACAAAAGCAAAAATTGAATAGGTAGCACTTTTCATAAAAAATTTGCAAAAGTGATTGTAAGTTAATAATACATTACTTTTCTGTGGTTCAGGAATTCTATTCAAAAATTGTTAAAAATGTTTGTAAGTTAACAATATATTGTTACTTTTTTATTCAGGAATTATTTCCAAAAAATGGCTGAATTAATAGGTGAATGAAGATTGCAATGCAAGTGGTAAATATTGAACAAGGTAATCGCGGTAAAATATTGCTATAACACTCAATATTTCCATCGTTTATTGGGTACAAGTGGTGGAGGAGGATGATAACGGCAGGTGTATGGACACACCTGCGTCAATCGTAGATAAAGTTTGAACCACTTCCGATGACCCGATAAAATCCACCCATCCTGATCGGATACTAATCTTATTTATTATTTGTTTCCTCGAAATCACTCGTATTTATTCTTTATAGCTATTCCAAATCCGTAGATACATAAAAATAACTATCTTATACTGATCCTTATCCTATTATATTAATTTTATGAAGAATGGTACTAAATTTACATATGCAGGGTAATTAGTGTTCAGGTGTGGAGGTGGTAGGTGAGATAGTGTGGAGAGAAAAAGAAAGAATACGTTGGCGGAAGGTCGGTGGCTCGATTCGTCACAGGGGCCACGGATATCGTCCCTAATTGTCCACAAATCGACGACCACCCTCGATTTCCGAACCGTTAAGTACAACCCACCCCTGGGGCACCAGGGGCGTTCCGCTAGCTCTGTCGAAAGGGTCTCGATACACACACAACAGGCCCAGAATATGGATTCAATTACACCTCATTGTGCTACGGTGTCTATAAACAATGCTGTTTTCACAGCTGATAGTGGCCCACGTTTGGCTGCGGGCTCACCCCCGGATTGACGTGTTCCTCTTTTCTGAATGAACGGACACACCGTCCATCCTCTTTGCTCTAAAAATCCTTGCTTTAAGTTCGAATCATCAAAATTTATTGTGAGTAGCCTCTGGGTGTTCTATGTTCATGGAAATCGTTTTAGATTCACTTTTGATAAACTTTTAAATTAACTCATGACGATCTATTTTTGAAACTTTAGTATTGTTGATAGAATGTATGTATGAATATTAATAGCTACCTACAGAATTTTCAAGTAGTATACCTTCTATACTGTATTAACTTCAAATAATTGTCTTGATATTAATTTTAAAGAGTTATGTTAAATTTAGTAGCTACATACTTTACTCGTTGAACTTTAAATAATTGTATTGAATTTGATAGTTTTCTTACTATATCAACTTTAAATAATTATGTGGAACTTCATAGCTACTGTGTTACAATATTGTTTCCATTTAATCTGATTAATTGTTTAATAGTGAAAAGGCACTGGTTCTTTCCGCCATGTATTATTCAATATCATTTAGCCCAATTTGCTAAAGCATGCACTGCTTCAGAGCCAAGGAAATCAATCAGCTAGGGAAAATTTCTAACTCAAAGTGTCTGTAACGATCGTCAAACTGGAAAATTGTGTTTGAAACGATATTACCTCGATCATGTTGCAACTTTTGATACAGTAGAATGCTATGGAAAATGTTCCTTATTAACTGTGTGGAAGGTAGACGGAAGGAAACTCGGGCAATTCATGCTGGAAGAGACCGAAGAGGGAACAGAGAATGTCGTGGGAAGATCCACACCCGGCGACGCCATTATTCCCGCGTCGCGGGACGTCGCGACGCCGCAATATCGACGTACCGCCCACGATTCTCTGTCTTTATCTTCCTGCCTCCTCCACCATCACTCGCGAACGAATTGTAGGATAGAATTTGGCGGTGTCTTTTTTTTTTCCTCCGTTTCCTCTTCACCCAAGGCCACCATTTCGTGGTGGAATATTCCCTTTCGATTTTCCGCCTTAAAGGTGGAACTATTGAGAATTGATATAGTAGGATTTTTGGAGGACACTGTGAAAATGGAATATTTTTGGAAGTATGGACATTGGGAAAGCCTGGAAATTAGAAATTTTTGGTAACTTTGGAAATTGGGGAAGTTAAGAAACCTTGGAAGTTAGGGAACTATGGGTTTTTTGTGGAACCTTGGAAATTGGGAAACCTTGGAAATTAGGATACCTTGAAAACTGGGGAACCTTGGAAATTGTGAATCCTTGGAATTTGGGATATCTTGAAAATTGAAAATCTTAGAAATTGAGTAACCATGGAAATTGAGGAATTTTGGAAATCGTTAAGCCTTAGAAATCTGTAAATCTTGGAAATTAGGATAGTTATAAGTTCGACAAGTAGAAGTGTAGGAAATCGCAGACACAAGTTATAAAAAAGGTACCTGGATTTCAGGAAAGTAGGATACCTTGACTTCATAGAAACTTGTTAAATAAGGGGAACGGAATGTAATCGAAGTAGAGTTGGATCAATGAAAGCTGCAATAAAATTTAAACTTGTACAACCTACTTTATTTGGCTTTTATGGTAACAATGATGACACTCATCATTGCGATTGCTTCTCACGTACAAACGATACCTAATTACATTATTTAATCGTAACCTTCTCCTATATTTACAATTTTTATATTTTTTTTACCGGAATCCTGTCGAGTTCACTACAATTTTCATTGCCAAGTTGAGACAGATGACCCGACAGAATTTTCGTAAATGACTTTTTCTTTACATCTTGAGCGTTCCAAAAAAGTAATCGAATAACATTTCTTTGAATTTACAATTGTCATCAAAAATTCCCTTAATCACTGAGTAAAAAGCTCAGTTTTCCATACTCGTCTGATTAAAGTACAATATTTAAATACTCTTAACGATAGTAATACTGTAGACCAGGATTTGACTAGATATGAAATAATCTTTCTTATTTTCTTAATGAAAAATTGCGCACTAATTCTCTAATTAATTACAAATTTTACTTAATCGTCGTTTTAAATTGACTCAACTCTGGACTGAGAAAAATAAACAGGGTATAAATAATTATAGAATGACTAGAATCTATCTGTCCTTAGATACTAAATAACACTTGGTGACTCAACAGTTTTAAGTCCTGAACATTTTACTCGAACGTCGAGCCGTTTTTCGACGTTCTCGGATCCTCCGGCGTCCACACCTTCGCGTACATCGTTCCGTTCGGTGAGATGTCCGACTTCCTTGACCAGGAGAGCGAGTGAAAAATGAAAGGATTCCCCTCGCTGCCTGAAATTTGAGCATTGCAACTGTTAGCAAGTGATTTCCCTAACATTATTCCACTCCATAACTACCTACGATGTTTTAATTACAATCAGACTCTGGATTTTTATATAAATCCTTCCAAAAAAGGTCCTTTCACCAATAAATAATTTTGTTAACTTAACAATAACATGAAAATATCAGTTCTTGTGGAAATGAAATATGCAAGAAATAAAAATGTTTGTTGTTAGAATCGAGAAATCTTGAAAATTAGGAAATCTTGGAAATTGGGAGAATCTTGAAAATTGGGGATCCTTGGAAACTGGGGAACCTTGGAAATTGGAGAACCTTGAAAATTGGGAAATCTTGTAAATCGAGTAATCTTGAAAAAATAATATTGCAAAATTTACTTTAAAAAAAATCCCCCCCCCCCCTTAGAGGAGAGAAATAATATTATTAAATTCACCTTGAAATAAATTTTGCCCCCTCTGAATAATAACCTGGCTACGCCTATGTCTAATAATTCTGACATTTGAATTTTTTTGTGCAGGTCAGCTGATTTGAAAACTGAATTCGAAGACTCTAGATTGTTGCACGAAAATTGGATAGGATGGGAGAAAGAAGAGTGAGTGCAATTGGTATTGGCCTCACCACGAACTATGACCTTCTTAGCGTCGTCCCGTCCGGAACACCTCGAGAGACCGCCGTTTCCTGTGAGTGCATCGTTCCCAGTATCTGCTCGGACCAGTTCATTTAGGAACTTGATGTAACCGATTGCTAGTTTCAAAGTGTCGACTTTGGACAATCTTTTCTCGTACGGGAGAGTTGGTATGTGAGCCCTCAGGCCCTCAAAAGCATCGTTGATATTTTGCATACGTCTCCTCTCCCTCATGTTCGCTGCTTGTCTCTGTTGCACAGCCTGTCTGGGACTCTTTCCTGATGCACCGTTGCGTCTGTTCGTCTGACTTCTTCTGGAAGTAGTTATTACATTATTCTTGTGCTTCGTTAGAATTTTCTGACATTATGCATTTTATTATAATTTTTGTGGATGTGAAATTTTTGTGTTTAGTTTCAGAGTATGAGGATCTCTGTTCTTCTAGATCTTGGGTCTCCCACATGTCGGGTCGCCTAGATCTCAGATCGCTTACATTTCTAACTTTCTAGATCTTGATTCATCTAAATCTGAAATCAAAACTAAATTTCTGATTTCCTAGATCTCAGGTCACCGAATTATTTGATTCACTAAATCTTGGATCGCCTAGATCTCAATTCTCATTAATATCTATTATTATTTTATCCATTCCTAACAATTTGAGACCCAAATTTCTCTGTCATCAATTTCTAAAAATTCCCAAATAAGAATTTAATGAAAATCCACTTCCATTACTTCAGACCAACAGCTTCCTTCAACCACCTTATACCATTTCCCATTTCCACTAAAGACTACTCTATCCCTAGTTTCATCTCTTTCCTGATCCACAAAAGTTTACCAACACATCTACAACTCTCATAAAGCTAGAAACTACTCAATTAATACATACTCTCTGGTATGGTTTTCCTGATCACTGCTGTAAGCACTCTCATTGTCACTGCTGTTCTCGTCGTCCAAATAAATTTCGCTGCCACTCGTGCTACCAATGCTCCCAGGAGGATGTGGCGCCAATTGCGACGGTATGGCCGGAAGAGTGGCCGTGATCGGTGCTCCACAATGCGGTGGCAAAGTTGGAATCGCCGGATTCCCAAGAAAAGTGTGTGCCTCGTACATATACTGTCGGTTCATCATGTCCAACTCGATATTATCCATGGAATACATCTTCACTAATTTTTCAAATCCCTTATCACTTATATAAAATCAATTATCAGACTTGGTCTCTACAGACTATGACTAGATCGTTGACTAGATGAAGTTAGAGGAAAACTTGACTGTTTCAGCATCCTGATAGTCGTCTTCTTCATTAATGATTCTTTATCAATCTGTTTGATATTTGAATCATATAATAGACTAGATGAAGTTGGAGGAAAAATTGACTATTTCATCTTCTTGATGATCATCTTCTTTACTAAATAGTGCTCTTAAATCTCTCTAAGGATGTTTCTAAATTTGATATTTGAGTCGTATAGTAAAAATTGTCTTTTCCTGCTGGTTGTATGCACTGTTGCTTCAATCACACTCGGATTAGCAGGCTATTACCGCCGGAATGCCAATCCACACACCCTTGATCACGTCCCGAGGATCTACTGATCCTATCGGCGACACGTGCCCCCCGCCGCGTGGCTAGGAAATACTTCTAAACACCGACACGTGCCACCAAGTGCCCAAGACACGTGTCCAGATTTGTCGAAACGGTTATCGACATGCACTACTGTCGACAGGAACTGGAACCCCTCCAGTGGGTCCAACTTCGTTAGAGGATCCACGAGAAATCTTCATTCTCGGTTTTCAACATTCCTTGTAGTACTCTTCTTAGACTCCAGACGCGAGATAGTCACATCCAAATTGCCCTCTATCATCACCAACAGGGTAGCACTTTTGTTGCTAATTCAACACTTAGTATTTCTCATTTTAGTCCAGATCTCTGAAGTGACGACTATAAAGATGAGACACAAACTTCTATGTCTTCAACTATTGGAAGTTCCCAAGCAAGAATTTTATTACCACTGTCATTCAGGATGAATTATTTCTTCAGTTTTGCAGTAGAATTTTCGGGGCACTGTGTTTCTCTATCACTTGTCAATTTGAAGACTAAATCTTTGGATGTAATTTTGTACCTATTTTTGGATACAATTTTGCAACTACCTTTGGATACAATTTTGTACTTATTTTTGGAACTATGTTTCGATAGAATTTTTGGATACTATTTTGTACTTATTGTTGGATATAATTTTGGAACTATTTTTCGATACAATATTGTAGTTATTTTTGGATATAATTTTTGAACTATTGTTTATATAATTTTGTAACTATTTTTGGATACAAGTTTGTAACTATTTTTTCTTAACGATGGATTGAGGCTTAGTCACCGAAAGCAGCACATAGTGTCCAGCAAAGTGAAGTTGAGGATAGGTCCGTGGCCCTGGTACTTTGGATGAACACTTTGCTTCGGGTGATCTGGCGCAACTAAACGGTAGCAGCGGGAGAAAGGCGGAAGCCATATTTCGAGTGGTGAGAACCGAGGAGCCACCCCATTCGTCGAGCTGGCCCCCATTGGCGGAGCCTGCCACCCTTGGTTGCCAGGCTGCTGGTTCCGCCTCTTCATCGATCTGATAAGGAACACGGGGGGTGGGGGATTCTCTCCGCTGGATAACTGATGGAACTCTCGTACAATGATAAAGTGAATTGGAGAAATTAGTTAATAAAATTCACAGCCTACAACGTACTCTGAAAATTTCAATTTTTTTCTTGGTTAAATTGTACAGCTTTGTAGGGCACCTCGATAATTTTTCTATTTATGCTGATACTCGGTTCTTCAGAGTGAAACTACCCCTTAAAGATTAATGTGTCTTCTAATTTTCCTGTATATCTTGAAAACTGTACAAGATATTAAAAAACTGTTGGGATGAAAGTTTAACGGATTCTTCTGCTCTGCAACAGTATGTAATGAAATTATTAAAAATTTGTTTATTTGTTTATTTAAAAAATCAATTTTTAACAATTTTATTGCGGTTTTATAGAGCATAAGATGTCATTAAATGTTCATTCCAACAGTTTTTTTTTATATTTACTATAGTTTTCGAGATATATAGAAAAATAGGGTTTCCAAGAAACCATTTAATTTTTTAGTCCACTTTTTTATTTTATCTTGAATGTCTTTTTACTGGATTCATTGGCCACCGAAGATCCTCCAATAAGAGGAAACAAAAGGATATTCAAAGCTACTAGAATTTCACGGCGACGAATGGAAAGAGCATCCATGAACCAAAGGTGGTAACACCGAAAGAAATTGGTGGCACGTGTCGTTGCCACGTGTGTCAGAAACGCAAAGGGTTCGTCGAGGGTTAACCACTTTCGGCGCGACATTTGGCCCCGGCCGCAACGTGTAATTATGCGGACCGTAACAGGTCGATCTGATTTGTGGTGCGTTATTACCTACCCGCAGACGTCTATTATTTAACATGTACCTGGTCGCGACAATATGCTCGATGGAACTCCCGTTTCACTGGCTATACTAAAATTACAAGTTTTACGTTTGGTAACACTGTTGCAGTTTCCTGTCTTATAATACCAATACCGTGTACATCCTGAAATCGATCCTTCTTTGAATTTTAATTCAACTTGTAGGTTACAAATTACTATACTTGTCGGTTAACAATTGAACAATTTAAAAAATTAATACATAGCAAGATCAGGATAAAGATTTAAATTCCATTCATCTGTAAACTCCCAGTTCATATTAAGAGTACAATTCTTAATCTGCTAACTGCATTTGTCCACTGCACTGGACGCCTACTTTTCCAAATACAGACTCCTCTCGATTATTGTCCAGCTTGTTCTACATGATTACTATCCAGACGTTATCCTGAACTGTCAAGCCCATATTTTGTTTTAAGCTTTGGGCAAAAAACGAATTTACGAGGGCCTGAAACATGTCTTCCGGAACAATAATCGAGAGGAGTCTGTATACACCTTATTGTATGTTATTTCCTCATTAATTTCTGAGGAATTGAGCTATATATCTGTCAACAGAAGAAAATGACTATTGGTTCTTGATTTTATGAAAAAAAATGTTTGTACAGGATACCAAAAAGGTGCAGTGAGCGGGTCAAGTTGAACAATTACCATTTTTATCTTAATTTTAATATATAACATACAAAATTGCTTTAGGACTTTCTTTGAACCGCCGAACAGACATAAACCACATCCCATTATCGATCCCCTTCCCTCAAGCTATACTAAACGTCCACGGCGGGTAGATAATTAACACACTGGTAATTAAGAGGGGGTGAATTATTCGCTCCATCTGGTGTTTTATTCCATTGGAAATCCACGAGGAGATTTCTTTCCCACGAATGCAATTTAGGGGAACAGGATGATACAACCATGAGAAAAAAAATGTAGTTCCTCCCATATGCAATATGTATTCCCTCATATTTCATTTATTTTTTTATTTATTAACTGGATAAATACCCTTTAGTACAAAGTTATCATAACAGAAGAAAGACGCGCATAAAATAAAAATAAACGGTACAGTAATATTGACAGTACTTTGATAAAAAAAAAAGAAATGGTAAAGGTACCATTTTCTGTTCCATTAGCGATCTTTTCGAACGACTGCAGGTGCAGAAGATCTGCGAGGAATCGATTCGCGGATCTAAAACCGCAGTCTGTACGAATTTAATCCGAAACGAAAATACAGGATCCAGAGGGTGGACAGGTCTATTGTGCAGGGGGGCTGAATTTCTGATCCTCGAGATCGAGAGATAACCGAAGGGGATCGGATTTAAATGGCAAATCCCTGGGGCACGTGTACGAGCTTCCACTCACTGTACTGTCTAGAGGAGTTAACCGTTGAGGGTATGGAAGCAGATTCTGTTACTGTTCTTTATTAAAATTGAAGTTTTTTCTATGTCAAAATCTTGATGTTACTAGACCACAACATCTATTCCCTAAATTTATTTTATTAAATGATTGAAAACTAATGAAAGGTCTGTGGTTTCAGGTTTATGTCCATTAGATGATCCCTTTAATATGCAGGGTGTCCCATTTAACCCAATCCACTCGAATATCTCCGAAATTGTTAACGATATTAAAAAATGTTTCAGACAAAAGTGGAATGGTATCAGGGGACACAACTTTCTGTTGTTAGTGACTTTTTTCTATGGGGAAGTATAGAGGTCATATGAAGGTCAACTTTGTTTTTTTAAATGGAATCATATATTTATTAATACACTACTTGATGCTACTCATTATGGTAAATTGATGCATTAGAAAATATACAATTCCATCGAGAAAACCAAAGTTGACCTTCATATGACCTCCTAATGTTCTACGCGAAAATTGTGACCCCTAATGCCATTTAACTTTTGTCTTGAACATTTTTTAATATTGTCAACAGTTTCGGAGATATTCGAGTGGGTCGATTTAAATGGGACACCCTGCATATATTACCGTAGTAATTCATACCTTTTTATTTATTGTTCTAAAGTAATGGTCTAATCTTAAAAATACATTTCTTCTTTTTTTTGTAAGCGGTGAGATGTGGACTGGAAACATTGAATAACGAAAGTTCATCCCTCATCCATGGGACACCCGCCCCACCATGTATAACCGATTTTCCATGGCACATCCTTGCACCCGGGGGCCCCATCCAACACCTGGTAGTCGGGACAACCCCGTGAACATCCTGATGCCCACTCGAGGTAGGACTCGGTCCCTAAGTGTCTATTAATTTATACTCAGCGGGAGTGTGAAATCGATTTATGTATACTCGGTCTCGATTCATTTTTCGGTTTAGATCATCCCTTCAATCCACATGTATCATTTCTACTCCCGACAGTGGGGAGAAATTTCACAGAAGTTAAATTAGAAAGAGCAAATCACCCCAGAGGGCCAAACATTGGTCCTTCTGAAATCCTAATAATTTTCTAAATTTTGCTTAAATTAAAGGGAATAAATATTGGTACTTTTTGAATCCCTAATAACTTTCTAAAAAACTTTCATCAAATTAAAAAGGTCAAATATTGGTGCCTTTTAAATACCTACCAATTTTCTAAAACAATTTTCATTAAATTAAGGGGGTCAAATATTGGTACCTTTTGAATCTCTCATAATTTTCTAAAAAAAGATTCTCAAATTGGGAGGGCCAAATATTGGTACCTTTTGCATCCCCAATAAATATCTAAATTTTTCTCAATTTAAGGGCCAAATATTGCCTCTTTAGAACCCCAAAATCTTTTCCAAAAAAATTTTACGAAAGTCCCCACATACCATACATTTCCATTTACTTTCGTGTGAATTTTCGGCCAGCAGCGAATGGTACCATTACAGGGCAAAAAATTCAACGACACACCTTGCGCCAATGTTTGTCCCAAAACATCCGGCGGACGATTGAAGGTGTAATCAACCGGGGCCCGTCCGAATCGTGGTGGGCTAATTTAACCATCAGCCTTGCCCTGGCGAATTCCACGCCACCTGTCTAATATTCACTCTTGCATCCGTTTCCGGTACGTGGACGTGTGGGGTGAGACGTTAACCCCCTGCGGTGTCCTCGTGGCCATCAGAAGGGCACGAGCCCCCCACTGAACGTCTGTTCCACGGTTGTTACAATGAAAATTCAACGGCTTCTTATGCTCTGTAGAACTGTGTAAGAGAATTGTTAAAAATTTGTTTATTTATTTATTTAAAAAATCAATTTTTAACACTTTTATTGCACACTTTGATAGAGCATAAGAGGCCATTAAATTTTCATTCCAACAGGTTTTTTATATTTACTATAGTTTTCAAGATATATAGAAAAATAGGATGTCCAAGAAACCACCTGATTTTTTAGTCCATTTTTTTATTTTATTTTAAATGTCTTTTGGCTGGATTCATTGGCCACTGGGGATCCTCCAATAACAATTGTTCGGTGCAAAACCACTCTCGCCCCCTCAAATAATCGATTGGTTATCATCGAATCAACGACGAATTTTTCAGGCATATGGAAGATCGGTGCACAAACGCGCATAATTTTCTGAGACGTGGAACTAGCTGAAAATTTATCTTCGAATTATTTCGACTGGATTCGGTGATCAAGAGATTTCTATTAAGGGAGAGGGAGATCGAGGTATCTTTCGTGCGATCTGGACATTGTGAATGGGAACGTTTAATTCCAGAGGCTCTGTATGCATGGGGCTGATCTCTAATCTTGAAATCTATAAATCGTCCTCTCTGGACTTATGTATAATCCAATAACGGTGTCTTGTTTTTTTTATTCGCTGGCATTGTGTGAATACCTAACATCTGCGAACATTTTTGGTTTATCGTTAGTGTCAGAATAGCAGTTGGGTTTGGAAAAGGAATCTGTTAATTTATCGTATAAATATTCAAGCAGTTCAGGGAAAATCGTGGAGGCTTGGTAATTGATGAGCCAATGTTCCATTCGTTTTTATTTTTCGCGGTTAATTTAAAGAGTGCAATTTTTCTATCACTCTATACCTTAGGTACTATTGAAACTTTCCAAAAAAATTGTAAATTACAAAAAGGTATTAAATATTATTTCTTGTTCAGAAAAGGGTTCAATCATTTCCATAAGATTCCAAGGAATAAATTTTTGGAAAATAGTAACGTAACACAGGGATAAGAATTTCTTAGGTCAATATTTTTAATAACAATAGATCTTTATTTAATATCTACACCAACATCAGATATAACAATTTTAAATTATACAGAATAACTGTTAACATTAACTAACTAATGAATCGCGAAGGTCGCAAATGTTACGCGTTAAATATCTCTTTTTTGAATGACGGAAACGACAATGTGAATGTTTTACAACAATAACGTGGAGCGACCCCAACATTTACCGCAAAATTTAAATATCAAAATGGACTTTTCAAAGGGACGGCTTACAGTTTCCCTTTTTCATTTATAAAAATAGAAATTAAGCCTCGAGCGATTGGGTCATTCTGCCCTCAGTTTCCTTCACAAAATTCCTCATGCTACTGCCACCTATTCACGCACACAAGAATCACATACCAAAGTTACCAACGGAGTAAGAACTCTGAAATAAATTTCCTCTGAACTCAATGATTGACACCGTGACTCACTACAATCTGATGTCAAAACGACCTTGTTGAACAATTACAGACCTATCAATCCAAAGATACAGATCACCAGTTATCTCCCCGTCCCGCCTTTGTATCGTTTGATAAATTGAAACAAGTATAAATTGATCCTCAGTATTACTTCCATCCACCAGTCTAGAAGATCTCCGAACGACCACACAAATCAGAGATTCCTCTACACCTCCTCTCCACGAAAGGGAAATCAAGGTCTGTCTCTCCACCGTGAATGCATCTGAGCAAACAATTTGAAAAAGGAATCGAAAAATCTCGGTCAGATAGCATCATCATCGGCCCTTTTCGGTACCCCGTTCAGCCCCTAGATGGCTCGATCTTCGAGGCCGTCGGCCACCAGTATTTTTGCTGAGCTGGATTGTTTACATCCCCGGAGCTGTTCGTCCGGCGCGTGATTAGGAGTCGAGTGTGCATCTCTGACGGGGAGTGCAAAAATTTTCGCGTGGAAATTGGTCGCCAACTGCCCCCCTCCCCTTTTACCCACTTGTGTATCCACCAGCCTACTTCTCCAGCCACAGTAATTCTCGATCGTTTGGACAGCACCGGCCAGAGGCGAGGGATCCCAGGCAGGATGAAGGTTACCGTGACCACGCTCAGCGACGACATCTTCGTCCTGGACGTCAGCGAGGACCTGGAGCTGGAGAACTTCAAGGCGTTCTGCGAGATCGAGACCGGAGTACCAGCTCACGAGATCGTGATCGCGTTCAATGGACGACCTTTGATGGACGACAAGAAATCGTTGAAGGATCTAGGGATCCGAGACGGTGACGCTGTGATACTGCAGCACATGCACCAGAGCGGGACCGACTTGAACCTTCACCCCTTTAACGGAGGTCAGCTTCAATACCGCACCATTTATTAACCGTTGGCGATCGAGGCGCGGGTCGTGAGGTTAGCTTTTCCGCTTCGATTTACGTTTCTTCCAGTCACTCTGTGTTTTGGTTTCACGTCACTGGACTGGTCTCCCTGACACTGCTGAGACTCCGTCACCAGAGTTGGGCAGAATTTTATTGGAATACAGTAAATCCTCGATAACGGTTCAAGATTAACAAGCAGAGGTCCCCAGGTGTAATGCTGGCTTTTTAATGGGTTAAGCATGGTGATTGAGCTTGAAATTTTGAAGCCAATGGTATTTATTTCAACGCGTATGGCTAGTAGTTTATGAAATATTTAATAGTCAGTGCATAAGAGTCTTCAAACACTTATCGAGGATTTACTGTGGTACATAGGGAACAGCAGGAGTATGTAGGAGAGTCATCCTGACCTTTAAATAGTTGATCAGGTTAAATGATTACTTTGCTAAGTGTCTACTCGTTTAAGAATTGGAATTTCCATGTTTAATCAATGAAAAATGGCAATGTATATTTTTATCTTTTGTTGCTTATTCGAAACTCTTTATCTAAATAGATAATGAATTTGCCCATCTCTGTCTGTCAACATGCACCATACTGTACACTTTTGGTTCTGACACATTCCTTTTGCTTGGATATAGCTGTGTCTGTTCTACCATCCCCTGTACTTTGCTCTGTCTATTCGTGCATTGTTGCTGAAGCAATTTTGGACCAGTTTTAGGTACAATGGAAGGTTTTGATTGCTTCAGAATTGAGTCTTGTTTCGATGCTTGTAACATCAGGCTTCTAGAGGTTGTAGAAGGATTGTACCATTAGCTCTGAGCAGTCAAGATCCTTTGATTGTTGGGAAACTTTCAATTGCATGGATTACTTAGCCTACTGAATGGTCTGAGAAGCTTCGCACTCCATAGTGCTGCTTCTCTCATGAGCTATTTGACACATTCAAGATCTATGATGCATCACACGAGTCATGCAATATCTTATTCATTTAGCAGAGTTTGTTTTTTTATAATAATACCTTTATTTGCGTGGTATGTTTGAACATACAGTAACATGCACAATTAGAATATGTTTGAATTGATGGTTTGTCACCTTTTCTACCACAGAATTTTATGACAGTGTAGGAGCGCAATTACAATTGGTGTATGTATTTTACATTGTACAGTAGTTTGAGTAGTAACCAATTGGATGGATGCCCAAGCTCTCTTATGAAGATTAGCTGTTGGAATATAAACATTGCTATAGTTATTACTGTTGAGGTTTTTGAGTGTAGGCAGTGTCCTGGTGGAATTATTTTCCCAACAAGCATTACAGCTAGCTTCATCATTGGTCAGCTGAACAATTAAAACTGTCTTTTGGTAAGCAATGAACTGGAACATAAGCAGGCTCCAATATATTAGTAGAGCAGCACAAGACACACCGGTATAAGTATGTCATTCAACCCCCTGGTGAACCTAGCTGTGCAATGCTTGCAAAATGTTGAGAAAATAATTCTACCAAGACTTACACCCGATAGCCTAATTTCTACTAATAAGTCGGTCTTGAATGTGTTAAGAAGATACTCTGCATAGCGAAGACGAGAATGTATTAAATTCCAAGATACGTCACTCTAGCTATTCCCATGTTGGACTTCAGTTCCATCAGAGTGCCAGGAGCGCCTGCGACAAGACAGCCAACCACATCGAATAATGCTGCTAGGATACAGAATCCTAGGAGCGAGGATAATCCAGCGATGATAAAAGACATGTTCCTAGCTAATCCGGATCAACTAGCGTTGCTAAAGCAGAACAATCCTAGGCTAGCCGATGCATTGTTATCTGGAAATCTGGGTGAGTTCCTGTACATATGTTCATCACCATTCATCTGGATCCATCAAGTTTTCTGTCTGACTGAATATATTGTAATTTTCAGACAGGTTCTCCACGGTACTCAGGGAGCAAATCAAAGCCAGGGAGGAACGTCAGGCTCAAAGATTAAGGATGATGAACGCTGATCCATTCGACACAGAAGCTCAGAGACTAATAGCTGAGGAGATCAGGCAGAAGAATATCGAGGCGAACATGGAAGCAGCTATGGAGTACAATCCTGAGACGTTCGGGACAGTGGTTATGTTGTACATTAATTGTAAAGTGAACGGGTTCCCTGTGAAAGCATTTATCGACTCAGGTGGGCATGTGCATTCTTCTGATGCATGTTTAAAAATTCACCAAGCGAAAATCGTGGTAGTGTGCAGATTCCACCGTGAATATTCGAGACAGACGTTGGACTGGAGACAAGATTATTTTTAAATATCTTTGCCCGACCGTGGTATGGACGTCTATTTTTATATTCCTGCAGTTCGAAAGTCATTCTTTGCAGTTGCGATTCTTCCACGGAGGGAGCGGTTTAATTTTAGATGTCAGAATCTCTGCACACTCACGCAGTTCGTTTTTTTTTCGTGGTCTCAACGGATTTTGATAATCGTTTCTAGTATGTAATGTTGATAATTAGGAGCACAATCGACTATTATGTCTGCCGCCTGCGCCGAGAGGTGTCATATAATGCGATTGGTGGACACCAGGTGGGCCGGAGTGGCTAAAGGTGTAGGGGTACAGCGCATCATTGGTCGTATACACATGGTCCAGATACAAATAGGCAATGACCATCTGACAACGTCGTTTAGTGTCCTCGAGGAGCAGCCTATGGACATGTTACTGGGCCTGGACATGCTTAAGAGGCACCAGTGTTGCATAGACCTGAAGAGAAACGTCCTGCAGATAGGCACCACTGGCACCGAGACAACATTCTTAGCTGAAGGTGAAGCTCTTGGGAAAACTGTATATCGTGAATATAAAATTTTAGGTCATGATTATGACACATTTTATATGGGTTTCGTCAGGTGACCTGCCAGAGTGTGCTAGGCTAAGTGGTAACAGCGACGAGGTCTTCGACGACAGGGAACTTCAAAGAGCTCTGGAGGACAGTTCTAGTGATGCTAAAAAGCAACGTCAGCAAAATGGTAAATATCCATTGATTCTGGCTATATTCTAATCTAAAACCAATCCTTCCAAGAAAATATATTGACGTCTTTTCCCCCATCCCAGGAAGCTCCTAATCACAAGAACTCCCTGTAATCTGCCTGGATCCCAATAAAACCTAGTAAATCCAATTGGTAGATTCATTTTACCAGCTCCAGTATCTTTTTTGTCTATTTCTTAGACGGCCAAGGGAGCAGTAATGCTAGTGGGCTAACAGTTCCCTCTAGTAGACCAGCCTCGTTGGAGACGATTCTACCAAACGATCCCTTCACAGAGGAAACCGTGGAGGAGATTGGGGCTTTGGGTTTCACCAGGGCGCAAGTGATTGCCGAATTGCGTCGACTTAACGGGGACAAGGCTCAAGCCACCGCCGCGTTGTTCGCGAAATCTTTGAAATTCTAGAGACAACGACGAACAAAGTCTATTTTTAACTCTGATCGGCGAACGCCCAAAGGGTGTGGGGGGAGGGGGGATTTGTACTTGATTTTCGGTAGCAATTTTTAACATCGATGATTGTATAGGGTGTCCCACCTAACGTGAGCACCTTCAATATGAAGGAGCAAATGCTACATTTTCTCAAGGACATATTTTTCGAAAGTTCAAGATCATCGATAGTTTTTTAAACAACATTAGATATGTTTATCAACGTGGCGTAATATTCGAGATCAAGGTCAATCCAGTGACCTTGAGTACGAAAAATCGACAAATATACGAGAATAGATTTAAATAATATGTCCAAGTTGTTGGACATCACTTAGAGCATTTGGGAAAACAAATTTACTGCCAAAACAAGTGAGATACTGAAGGTGCTCACCTTAAGTGGGACACCCTGTACACACTCGACGCACCAACGACGCTCAAGGGACATTAAAGTCTCATTGGAGATAGTCAGGATTCCCAAAGTGATGGAGCTATGCATTTTCCTCTAACAGAATACGGATAATAGGCCAGTGTGATCTGGTATATATATATATATATATATATATAATTATCGCAATACACACACAATAAGTTTAAGGGCAGCGTGTTAAGACGAGTTTTAAAGAAAGAAGTTCTAAAGAAATTTGGTACTAGGTGTCCTCATTCGGGAAATGGCGGAAAACGGTGGTTTTTTTTTTTTGTTTCACGGAACGTTGCTGACTGAAAAATCAGTTCCTCTATAATTTATTGTACGAAGCTATCGGTGGACCCAAAGTCCCCCGGGGATTTACACGTTTATTTTTCATGTCACAAGAGAGAGAGGGAGAGATAAAGGACGAACTCAGAGGCGGGAATTTCTGTTTTGTTACCTTTTTACGCGAGTGTACCCATTGAACGTACACGATGGATAACATGAATTTCATACTGTTACAACCTACTGTAGGGTACATGGTATTTTTTCTGTATTTTCTTTATTACTTATTAAAAGACTTGAAAGACGAACAAAATACACCATGATCATTCACGTATCCTTGAGTCTAGGGAAACAGTGAATATCCATGGATACCTCGAATTCTGTTCCAGAAATCAAACAGAACGTGAATTACTTTAAAGTCTAGATCAAATTTTCTGTGTTCCTCGGGATCTCGTTGGCCGGCCAGTTTATTTCCACCATTTTTCCGGTCTTGGCGGACTCCTCGCAGGCACAGGCTATCTTGCAGACCGCTAGTGTCTCTTCAGACGTCACCGAGAGCTCGGACTTGCCAAGAACCACGTTGATAAAATGGTCCAGCTCCCTTCGGTAACCATTCATGAATCTGCTGGCGAACGAGTACCATATGGGGGCCTGAGTTGCCCCTTGGAGGCCACGTTGCATGGTCACACTGTGCAAAGGTCGTTCGTTGTCTGCAGTAATTAGTCCTTTGGGACCGAAGACCTCAAGACGCTGATCATAACCGACAGGGCTGTTCCTGGAGATGTCGATTACTCCTAAAGTACCCGAGGGGAAGTGGAGGGTCGCTACCACCGTGTCGTAGTCCCCTAGTGCCTTGATTTCTGGGATGTGCGCGTGAGCCCGCACGGCTACCTGTGTCCGAGGTTAAGTGTCAACTGATGAAGAACTAGTATGATAATTTCAATTGGACTAATTTTGAGTGAAATGATTTTAAATTCATTTTAGCGAATCTGGATTATTGTATGATGCTTTGAGAAACAAGTGTTGGTATCTTAGACTCTAGACCATAGATTCCCAAAGTGGGCGTTTTAGCTATTTCTGTAACTTCAATGTAACTTTTTAAGATTCAAAGGTTAGTGCTGAACTGCACTTGGAAAGTTTGATGACAGTTCACTCAAAGGGGACACTGAGCAAAAGAAACTTTGAGAACAGGGTGGCTAGACATAAAGATTGGAAAACTGTGTTCTAGATTGTTATGTCCCTACTGGTCAGTCCTGGCTATAGTATTTTAGAGGACAATTACCTTGTTGGGATATTCGCCAAGGATCCAAGTGATTAAGTCAAAGTCGTGGACCATGCAGTCATGGAAAATACCACCGGAGGTCTTCAAGTACTCTATTCCAGGAAGAGGGGAGTCTCTGGCGACAGTTTTGATCACATGAACGTGACCCACCTCCCCTTTTCTGACCCTCTGCCTGACCGTGGAATAGCATGGGTCGAATCGCCTGTTGAAGGCACAGAACAGTGGTTTGCCGACTTTTCTGGCTGTTTCATAGCATCTGACAGTGTTCAGGCGATCCTGCGCCACAGGTTTCTCACAGAAGACTGCTTTCTTGGCCTCCAGAGACCTGGTCACTATTGCCTCGTGTGTGTACGTGGGGGATGCTACTATAACTGCATCGACACTAGGATCAGAGAATGATTTCAGGTGTTATTCATCTATACTGTAATCTATATTTTCCCAGTGTAGTCCATAAAGTTAAAAATCATTTTAACATGGTTCTGATGGACCATCCTCTTTATGGTCGTCTGTCCCTATATTGCTTTATGGGAATTTACATCTAAAACTTCAAAAAAATATCTAAATACTCACTTGAGGTCCCTGTACACTCTGCTCGACTCTTCGCTGGTCAGAAACATGACATCCTCCAAGTGCCAGTGTTCCTTGATGCTCTCCCAGTTGGACTCCAGATCATCAACAATGTAGAGAAGCTTAACTCGAGGACTGGCAATGATGTTGGACAAGTGGATAGTCCCAGCACGACCGACGCCGAACAACGCCAGTTTTATTTTTGGGTGATGTAATTCTTTCTTCGGTGCTAGATCCTCTAAATACCTGCAATGACACGTGAATGATTTTCTAGGATATCCAGAGGATCCTGTCAAACTGGAGTCATCATCCAAAAGACACTGAGGCGTTCTGGTCCAGACAGTTTAGGAAGACACTGTTTCCAGCTGGTTGAAGATGAAAATTTCAAGTCCACTTACTTTTGGAAGATATAATCCTCGGGTGGTGGTGAGGGTAACGGTTGCTTGTACGGCGAGGAGGCATCTTTGAATTTCAGTGTCGCCATGGTATCTGAACGTTTGTGAACAAATTCGCGCTCTTCGTTGGTTCTGTGATATGACAATAATGATTGACTGTACACGCCGGTACAGCGCATGGTGTGTAAGGGGTTCTTATATATAAACGAATAGACCCACTTGGTGGGGATGGACTTGATCGAATGTGACGTAATTCCCATGTCAAGTCGAGGGGTAGTCGCAGTAAAATGTTTTCTGATTCGCGAAAAACGCGACCTGAGATTTTTTATTGATACCGTTTGACCACTTATTTACGTTTATTTATCGCATTATGTATTATTGATACGTGTGTAGTACAGGAGATAATCACTTGGGGTCATCTTCCACGGTACGTCTTCTCGTGAATTTAAAATATTCCAATATAGTTGCTGAGTAATCGTGGCCCAAGTCAACTTTCATCTACTTCCAAAAGTGCAAGAACCTCCTTCTGGGTTCATTGTCAATGATAGAATTCTAATCGGTGTATAATTAGTCATTTTTTTCCACTTGTGATTTCATTTCATCGTGTCAACGATACGTGAGATGATAACCTTGCGCTGTAAGGATACACATTTTATATGTGTACGTGATCTTTGTGTTTATACATTGATTGGAAGAACGAGAATGCTTGGAATATTACCAATTACAATGGTAATTGGGAATTAATTATATAGTATGGGGTGTGATAGTAATACATAAAATTGTAAGGAAAGTTACTTCTAATGTTCAGGTACAAGAACATTTATATTAGTCATAATTCATCATTGATCTTAGGTATAATTGAGTTAGGTATATAGGTGACTCGATCGCTATTGCTTTCCACATAAGCATTCTTTTTTTCCTTGTCCCTGGCTGGATCAGGATCCACCAAAGATATGCTCGACCTCACTTCCCTGGGAACAAAGAATAATTCTTTTTGTTTAAAAAGTCACTTGATTCTTATCAATTAAGATTTTTATATTACTTGCCTCTTATCAGGTTCGCCTAATTCAGCTGATACAGTGAAATCCCTGGATTTCGAGAAGTCGCATTCTAAGATAAAGGCTGCATCACCTGGAGTAATTAACTCGTCGTCGTGTTGTACCACCAAAATATTCCTATACTTATTATCTTCCTGATACGAAAAGTAATCAATTTTGAATTACTTCTGCAGCGTGTTATGATAGTTGTACAAAGACTACTTACAGTTTCTGTTTTACACTGGTCGAAGGGAATGTTCATGGTGTAATTGCCACCATGGAGAGGGTCAAAAAAACATGGGGACTGTCTGGAATAGAAGCTACCTTGTGTGTATATCACTCCTGAAAAATTGTCAGACGTTTTCAGATCCACTATCATCTTCTCAGCCCCGCAACGTAGACTCACTTGGTCGAATCCTTCTGTGGATGCTTCTATTTGCATGTCCATGGACAGATCCTGTTGCCATATTTCTTCTGCAATGATACAGTTTGTTTGTCACTAATTGAACAGTGCTCACGTTGCACTACTGCCATTCTATACTCGAATGATGTCAGTACTTTTTTGTTTTGGAACTCTGATAAGATTGAAAGTATTCCAGATAATTTCAGGAGGACCAAGTATGAGATTCTGAATACATATTGACCCAGAAGAATGACCAGTTGGTACCTATTTGCATGTTTACTGAAATTCCACTTAGATTTTGGAGAAATTAATTGCGATCAGATACTGTTAACCCTAAGGGACAAATTAAGTTGGGAAAATGAGTGTTAAAAAAGTTTGAAAAAAGTTTTTATAAATAATTATGTGGCCCACTTGGTAATGTCAATAAAATATCGGTTCATCTTTCAGTGGGCAGTGACTTTTGGCTCACCCTTCGTAGATAGAGCAACAATTCCTTACTTAACACTTGTGTCAGTAGAATTTTCTTTTTCATAGTAGAATTGTAATTGTTATGAAACATGATTTATTAAAAATTTAGATGTCTGAAGTTCAACAAAATTCACGAGCTATTTAGATAAATGTTTTTTTTATTTTTAATTGTTTCATCTTAATTTACCGGCTGAACGTTGCTTCAGCGTGAAGAGTAGCAGGAGTAAACGTAGCGGTGACAGCATGACGTAGAACGTCTGTGAACTGACAACGAGTACACAAGTTCATCCTCAAGATCGGTCACTCCTATTACCTGTTCTGTTGCTCCCACCTTGGCATTGAATTGCCCAACGTTCACCTAATTAACATACCATTATCCCACAAATTTCCAGCCAACAAACCTTTTAATATAACACAGCCCAATATTAAACAATATAAATACCTATAATGAAATCAATTATTCATTACATTTAATCAATTATTCCTATTAGAATTTCAAACGATTCTCATATATGGTAGCTACAAAGTGTGTCAGACCGGTTGCATATCTTCAGGATGACCGAGGTCATCGACCTCAGTTTGCCCAAAGTGATCGAAATTTGTTCTCCCTTCTCTACCAAACCTGTTACCCAAATCTTGTCATACAACTGTTCGAACTTTTTTTTATTTTATTCCATTACATACAATCTGTTTATTATTCGTTTCTCTTCTGTACACATTTATCGTTGTTCTAACGGCATCCGTTTGATGGCGCGAACATGTCAAAATTGCGAGTAAAATATTTTACTTTTTATTATACCCATTTGTAATTATTGTGAGAAATCTGCAATGAGGTATAATACTATTTTAGGAGTCTAAATGTTAGCAACGAAAAATGGTACCTTTTATTGTATATAAATGTGAGTCTATACTTGGTTTTATCAGGGGACAGGGTTCTTAGAGTTCTAGGTACAGCACTGGCTCCAGTGAACGCGTGGAACCGTTCCTGTTTGTCAAGTTTGCATACGACGATTGGCAACAGATTGGGGTTTATCAGTTCTCGTTAAATTCGTCGACAATTTTTCGCATTGGTTGTACGTGCCGGCTAACAGATACAAGGTTCAACAAGAAGGCATCATGGCAACCACTCGTCTCGGTCAAACTTTGTTCGCTAGATCTTTGAAGATTGGCAGAAAACCGCAACAGTTCGCTTCGAATGTTAAATACTATTGTTGTGAGTATTGTCAGTCGATAAATTGCAAGTTTTTTTCAACCTGCTTTTGTTAAAAACAAGCACACTTTAATTTGATTAACTATTGTGGGCACTTCGATTATTACTTGATCAACAGTGATCTATGATCTATAAAATTTATCATTGGATGTAAAAAATTCGTACTCTGTTTTGGAGGTCTTGTTTATATTTTATCATTTCGAATATCTTTGTAATTTAAGTATACTCTGTAATTGTTTTTCCTATTAATATTTGCTATTTTTTTAAATAGTCCTTCAAATGGAATTGTAGTAGAAATATTCTAGAGAAGTTCTGAATACATGCTCATGTTTTAAATATTCCTAAAATAATCGCTCTGTTCGATGAATATTCAAGAACGAATTTCTTCCAAGTACATTTCGTATTTATGACTTCCTGCTAACCGATTAGCCGGCTTTCGATTATGCTACGGGAAATTCTGCACGAAACAGAAAAATGGTAGTTGAGAGTCGTGAAAACTTCAGTCTTGTGAGAAAATTCTTGCAAACATTAAAACTTCCCCAGTATTAATTCTTAATACTTCCACTGTTTTGTAATTTAATATATCAGATGAATCCAGAAGCTGTTGATCATAAACATGTTTTGTATCTAGGTCAGGTTCCAAAGTATGAATTTATCAAGGTGGAAACAACAGGAGAAAAGAACAATGTAGGCTTGATCACCTTGAACAGACCGAAAGCGCTAAACGCTCTGTGCGATGGTTTGATGTCTGAGGTGAACGATGCTGTGGCCAGATTTGATAAGAATGATGGTGTTGGTGCCATTGTTCTCACTGGCAGTGAGAAAGCATTTGCAGCCGGTAAGTCTTCGTACTGAAAATTGATCAAGGATCGAACTGAATTTTAACACTACCTTTTCAGGAGCTGACATCAAGGAGATGCAGAACAACGTGTATTCCCAAACTATTAGAGGAAACTTCCTGACCACTTGGGATGGAGTTTCTAAAGCTTCGAAGCCTGTGATTGCTGCAGTCAATGGCTACGCTGTATGTAAATCCTTAACAAAATATTAACATTATGTTCTTTGGTACTGTAAAGCGACAAATTATTTCTTCATTTAGTTAGGTGGAGGCTGCGAGCTGGCCATGATGTGCGACATAATTTATGCAGGTGAGAAGGCCAAGTTTGGACAACCAGAAATTGCTATTGGAACAATCCCTGGGGCTGGAGGCACTCAGAGGTTGACCAGAGTCGTTGGGAAGAGCAAGGCAATGGAAATGGTGCTCACAGGAAATCAAATCACAGCTGAGGAAGCCGAGAAAAGCGGTTCGTTTTTGCACAGAAATGAAGTGATTGATTTTGAAATTTAAATAAATGTTTACTTATAGGTCTAGTCAGTAAAATCTTCCCAGCAGACAAGCTGGTAGCAGAGGCAGTCAAGTTGGGCGAGAAGATTGCTTCTCATTCACAGTTGATTGTTGCCATGGCTAAGGAATCTGTGAATACTGGTACTTACCATTACCTTTTTATTAATTTACTTATTATTCGGTTATCTGATTTTTAAATATTTTTTTTCTTGAAGCTTATGAGACGACACTGAAGGAAGGTCTTCACTTTGAAAAGAGAATGTTCCATGGTACTTTTGCCACGGTGAGAAATTCGTTTATAAATGTGTATCTAAGAAGTTAATGTATATTTATTTACATAACAATGTTAAATTTAAATCTTCAGGCTGACAGGAAAGAGGGAATGACCGCGTTCGTTGAAAAGAGACCGCCAAAGTTCACGAACCAGTGAACGATATTATTGTTAACTCCGTTTGGAGTATATAATTAAATAAGGGATCATATTTTTCTACCATTTTTTATAGGTTTACGGAAATCTTATACATATATACATTAGTTATAGGAAGAATTTATAAATAAATATTTTCTTTCAGAGAGACGAAGAGACAGTTTTCAGATGAATTTTTATTTAATCGTTATCTTTACATCGACGTGGATTTAAGTATGATACATTTACAGTTAGCATTGCAGTTGATACATCAGGTGAATGATTATTGTTAACAGTTAATTATGGTGATTCTGTTAAAGCATCTTGTATAGTGAAACAGTAGGAACAATGGAATTTCACGGCAACATGTACAATTAAATATCAACCTTTACAATGCAGAATATTATTGAAAATCAACACGACTTTCAGACATCTTTTTTTTTTTTTTTTTATTTTACTTTATTGTAGTGTACTTGCGGTCTGCTTGGAGTATAAAACAGATTGTTCTCCTTTTTTGCATCGGCACACCAAGAGAATAATTGCACTTGTACAATATTCTTTATCGAATTCACAAAAAAATGGGGCAGTATCAAATTACTTGTTTTTCAATCATTCGTAAAAATCTGTTGACTAGCTAATACTAACAAATGTACAGGTATGATGTGAAAGGGGGGCTGTGCGTACGTAATGTTTCCGTAATAATTACTTCAGCTGTGGATTTCCTCGTTCTCATCCTTAAAATTACGAAAAAAAAGGAGACTCAGACTAACTATACTTACATACTAAAAATATTTGTATACTAGGTATTCGCTGCGTTTCTTAACGATTACTTAAGTACACAAAACGTTTCGTAGAACGTCAGGGAACCCCACAGGGTCTCGAAGGAGTTTCCAGTAATCGCGAACACATGATATAAAAATCTCCATCCAAGAGATGGAATCGCGTAAAAATTTATAGAAAATACCATCCGAAAGAATTCCCAAAAATATTGATATGCGAACGATGACTTTTGATTATGAATAATTTTGTACCTAAGACTCGATGATATTACTCGTGATTTATTTTTATTGGTCCTTGTTCATCAGACTTCAGACACGGAAACCGGAAACTCCTTGGGGAACCAACGAATTAAATTCAGGAAGTGCGCTCTTCTGTCACACGGGTACAACTCGGGTTTCCTTCTTCGCGTATATCACAGTTGCAAGCTCTGCTCGAATAACTAAGTTGGTACAGTTCACGGAAACGGGAATAAAAATTATCAGGACGCGTGGAGATGTATGTTTCGTCGGCCAGGCGGTTTACCGTTTATTACGGTTCTTCATGGTGAAACGTCTCCAGAAGTTGCCACTCTTCTTCGACGGCGTTGCAACCGGTGTGTCGAAGGGGTAGCTGGACTCCTCATCCGTATCTTGGGCACTCGGTGTCTCCCTAATCGGCGAACCACCGTGGCCAGAGTCTCTGTCACCGTCTACCACGTTCTTCTCTAAACCTGAAACAAACCATTATCAGAAGTTAGTTATTGAGCTAGAATTATTTAAACAAATTCCACAAAAATATTCCAGTTTTGTAGTATCAGGTTCACCAATCAGTAATCCACTATTTAAGTGAAGAAAATCTGATCTGTTCTGTAAAAATGACGGTGGAGTATGAACTTCAGCAACGAATATTGTTAAAATAGTATAGAAATTCAAGTTATTCCAAATGCAAAATTTCACAAAAATAGTAGACTAGTTATACATCCTACAATAGCATTGCCCTGGAAATACTTCATAACCCAATAGTATAACCTTAGGTTCTAATTGCCTAGAGTTAAATCCAATCGTATGCCTCCATCCACGTATTCTGTAGGTCTTCAGAGCCTACTGAAGCTACTATTAAACCTATACTCCATTTGGACTACACTTAGAACCAATTGTACCCAAAAACATGTTCCCCAAGATCATTATAAAGACCCTTCTCCTAACTGGGGGAGTCATATGCCTCGTTCCACATAATCTCTAGGTCTTCAAACCCTACTGAAGCTACTATTAAACCTATACTCCACTTGAACTACTCGTAGGACCGATTGTACCCAAAAACACGTTCCCCAAGATCATCAAGATTGCCCCACCTCCAGCACGTAGCATGTCGAGGAACGTGTTCTCGGCGTTGCCACGCGTGCGTCCCTGCTTCTGCGACGGTGTCCCAAAGCTGAGGCTCTGAATATTGATCTCCGCCTTGAGCTGCTCGGGCGGTATGTCGTCCACACGAAATTCATTCGGGTCCTCGACAAATGCCTGCTGAAGATCCCGCATGATCTTCTTCCGAATAGTCTTCTTCATGGACAAATGTCTCTCTAAATGTTTCACGTCGCTCTCAGTCAATGTTTTACTGTTATCACGGCGACGGGACTTTTTCTTCTTGCTGTTCTTCGGGCTCTCTTCCTCGCCGGAAGTCGAGCCGACGGAGACGGCACTGTCGTGACCAGCGGCCTTCTCCTCCGCTTGCAGACGGGTGTTCTCCCATTTGCTCCCGAAACCAAAGATGTCCCTTAAATGGGGGATGTTCCGGTCCGCCGTCTGCTGTCGCGCCATTTCTCTGATCCAGTGTTTCACAGTGATTCGATGACAGGGTTACTGATCTGAAATTTGAATAGTTTTTATTATCTAGGGAGAATAAACAAACATATATTCTGCTATGAATAAAAGTATTCCTAGTATTATTCCTTAATTTAAATAATTCTTTTAATTAATTATTAGGAGTGGGCTTCTAGAACCAATAGCAGACTTTGTTTCGAGGAATATCACTTTTTAGTTCAAAGTTAAATTAGTTCAGGGATGAATGGATACATATTAAAAGTGGTTTTAATTATGGTGAAATGAGATTTGAAATATTCATTTAGAAATGGCTGGAAGGACCCTAGTTCAATAATATAAAAAATCATTATAAATAAATAATATAATAAATTTGCAGGGAAGTAAATTCGACGATATTTTCGTCAGAGGTCGTATAGGTTCGATAACTCTCGCTAATATTTCCGTCTATTACAGAGGTTGAAATCCAGACCGGCCTGCAGTCTTTCGCACAGTGTCGACCGGTCATTGTCTCCCGTTGTTTTTGTCAAGTGTGTCCCTATACGGTTACGTTCGGTGCTGGTTTCTCTATGGTACTATACCAACAATGCAGTGTCATCAAAGTAAGAAAATACAATTAAATTAAATTATATCTTATTAATTTAATTACTTCAATTTCGTTTAAACTATTCAGTTTATTTATTACATTCTATTTCTGGTCTTCTATGTTAAACGTGACAGTGGAATCACTGACGATAGTGTGTTCAATATCTTCACCGTAGTGTGTTCCCTGTACTAAATAAATAATTATTAACAAGTTAACCGTCATTTGTATCCAAATAAATACGATATGTACACTCCAGCTTACTTTGTGAGCCACTTTTATTAGTTTGGTTACTGTTTGCGTCATTCAAATTCGGTTTTCTTTTGTTACCCAATGGCCAGAAGCAATATCATTTTTTTACATAATGACGGTTAACGTGTTATTTTGTCTTTGATATTTAAAACTAAATTTCAAAATATTAAATATAGCTTTCTCGTACAAAGAAAGATGTGGCCACTTGGCTTCCAATGAAAACATTGGGACAATGAAGGTTAACGTATAAATTTGTTTTTATTATTTAAAACAAAATTTCGAAATATTCAATATTTTTTTCTCGTCCATAGAAGGAACTGGGTCTGACTTCCAATGAAAATATCGGGCCACATAATGTTCGTAAGAGGGCAATTCCGAGGCGGGTCCTCAGAATAAAAGAAAACAAACAAAAGCGAGCCTACCGGTCCCAAAGTGTCGTCGACTCGTTACGAAATTACGGTCTAACGGTTTGGTCATCGACGGTGTATTTTTTTCTCTTCTTCTTTCGTTCTGTCTTATTCTTTTTTTTTTTTCAGGGTAAGTGGTATCCGGTCGGTCAACTCGATTTCTTCGTCGATTAAAGTCGCGATCGTCGGGTTGAAAAAGGAAACACGTGTGCACAGCAGTGAATGCATTACTAACCGGCCCCGTGGATCTGTATATTTACGGTAACGGTAACGTGTCACGCGTTAAAGCCTCGCCAAGGTATATACGTACGCAGCAGGAGGGAGGAGGAGGACCACTCTGATAACAACCGTGCAATTTAACGGCGCCTGGGAAACCGCACGCGCAACGCCACCTAATTATTAGGTGCAACAGGTTACCACGTCAACGATACGCACTCCTTTTTTCCTTTGGATGCGTTCCCACTGCTGCCTTCGTAACCCTGGACTCACGCACTGGTTCTCCATAAGTCGATTACAATGGAGTTTTATTTTTTTTTTTTTTCAGTATCAATTTGTCATAACTATTCCAAAAGACACTTAATAAATGATTTTCATCATATTTTTTAATGGGAACTATAACCCCTATAAGATTGTGGGATTTGTCGTTTAGGAAAATCGTTATAATATTTGAAACCGTGGACGAATGCAGTAAATCCTCGGTGAGTGTTCCAAGGCTCCTCGCCACTGTGTTCATAAAACATCCGCACTGCTGAGGTGTCCCCTGTGGAACCAGTCAAGCTCCCAGTGGTGGGGATGACGTCTCAACTCTCAGCGTAGAAGAGCCTTGGAACTCTCATCGATGATTTACTGTACTCAAGTACTCAGGATCCAGTACTGAACCTGAATAATTTTTCCGAATTCGAGGCAAAGCTCCCGTTTAATATCGAAACACTGACACAAATAGTAACCTGGAATTACTCACAAGAATGCTGGGCTAAATCTCATTATTCGTAGAATAGAATGAAAAAATGACAAAGGCACAGGTATTCTATAAAAAAAAAGTACTTCGCCATTTTTCATTGCTTAAACCTGGAAATTCCAATTTTGTAGAATGTGTAGACACTTTGCAATCAATCGTTCAATTTCATTAACCGTTTAAAGGCCCAGGATAATGTTATTAGATGTTGTTGCATTTAATTATTTATTGTTCGAATAATATCGTGGCCAACTCTGCTCCGTAGGCCGTGATCGAAAAACAACTTTCTGGGGATAAATAAAGCGGTTTCTCACGACGCAGATGGAAAGTACGCCGAGGGAAACGTGGGCGAGATTTCGCTGTATCGATCGACGGATCGGGCTTAGATGCCCACGCTGAATCGCGTAACTGCCGGGGGCCTTTATCGGGGTACAATAACCAGCTGGGTTTTTATTAATGCTCCAATAACGACCGCCCGCCTCAGTCTAGTTGTTCCTTCGCCTCCTCGTTGGTCCTGGAACCGTGATCTGTTTCCATGCTCTCTTGTTCGGTCCCTTGTTAGTCTCGAACGAAATCTACTGGCAACAGTTTGATAGCAAGGGGAATTGCGTCAGCGATCACGATCATGGTGGTACGTGTGCCAATAAGTAACCAACTGTTTTTGTGTCTTCTTGACCTTTTGCCCAATACAGGACAACGTTACCTAATACGGAGCAATGGATTAGATAGTAAATTTCAACTTCAGTGACAACAATTCTAAGAAGCTTTAGATAACAGTGCAGAAGGATCTAGTGTTGGTGCAATTGTATTAACAAATTATTGTTAATTGTAAAATGTTTCGTATTGAGATAGATTCCAAATAGTGCGTTTAAATTTTTCATGACTTGGTCCAATATATGTAAAGGATGTAGGAAATGTTACAAGACCCCTGTAAGCATTTTAGGGTACGCAGAAGTGTCCCATTAATCCACAAGACATTTATCATAGCTGTGAATTAGGATAGTTTGTTTATCAGTTAGTTAATAATATTTAAGATTCTCTGTAGAACCAGTCAAGCTCCCAGTGGTGGGGATGACGTCTGAATATATTCAGCACAGAGGAGCCTTCGAACACTCGTCGATAATTTACTGTATACTAAAATTAGGATTAGGTTATTCCTAAACTTCTGTACTACCATTTGAATTTTTCTACTATTTCACTGAAATTAAGATTAGGTCTGGAAGAATTGAATACTATAAATCATCGATAAGTGTTAAAAGGCTCCTCGCCACTGAGTTTTCATAAATCATATCCATCACTGGAGTATCTTTAAGATTGTTAAAATCCTATTTAAAATAAATAGGTCCAATTACGTGCATTAAGTGATCTCAGGTCTGAACAATACCCAGAGGTAGAAATCCAAGCGATCACGACAGAGTTATTCGCATCTGGCTTAAGTATTCATGGCGAGTGCGTGCACGTGGTTCCCCGGGGATACCGGTTCAAGCAAACTGTTACCAGCATTAGCACGTTTCACACTGTGTAGGACGATATTTACCGGAAACAGAGTATGTTTTCCTAGATGAATAACTGCATCCTTTCGTTGCAAGGGCTCTGGTTAATCAAGTATTTGTAAGTCCATCCAATAACAATCTAACAAATGCTAAGTCTTATTTATCGTGAGAAAAATCACGTATCTAGCACCAATTGTGTCTAGTACAATAAAAGAATAAGTCATTTCTTGAAAGGGTGTTCAGTAAATTCTTGATAAGTGCTGCAGAAAGATCTCTACATTATATGCTTCTGGTTCCTCCTCAAACTACTAGTGGGACCAGTCGAATTTACGAATTGCAGAAGTAGTATCCCTCTAAGATAATTGTTCCAAAGCGAGCCCAAGTTTCGAGCATTAATCGAAAATTTACTGTAGTCCGTTAAAAAGGTCAAAATTGCCCTTGGACCTAATTGGACTTGTATTGGACCATTCGATAGCTCCCAAAAAATAACAATTCCTACCGATTTTGAATCCTATATCGAAATATAGGGTTGAAAATCGGTAGAAATTGTTTTTTTCCTTGAGCTATCCTATGCTCCAACAAAAGTCCAATTAGGTCCAAGGATAATTTTCACTTTCCTATCTGGTTATTCCCTTTGTTTATAATTCTCCATTTCCCTAAATTTGATCAAGTCGCCTAGGCTTGCACAGTCGACTCACTGACTTCATCTGCAGCAATGCAGTGCCACCACGCCCTTTTATTGGATTATGCAGACAACGGGGAGAGCTTCACTATTCAACGGAAAGTGGACAGACTGAAAGCTGGGACAGGCGCGTTCAATTGAAAAAGTGATTTCCATAGCTTTTGCAACGAACGGGAACACAGTATAACGCAGGCGGTAGGTACGGTGGCTAGCTGGTTGCCAGGCAGCAAGTTCGCCCAGGTAAACCGCTCCTCCTGGTTTCCTCTCTCGCTGGTGCCGTGTCCCGGTCCCGATACAAACGCTATATTACGCTTCTATCGACGTTTGATATCGGTCGGCGTGGCGCAGCGGTGCGCAAACTCATTTTTTTTTTCTTCACGGAATTAAAACCAGTTCCGTTGGACTGACACAGTAATACTCTGTTAAACGCAGCCAGACATCGGGCTATTAACAATTCATAAAATGCCGTTGAATGCACCAGGGCTGTTACGAATATTCGAATACTCCGTACTATTCGAATTATTCGAGTACTTCGTACTATTCGAACTGTTCGAATCCTCCGTACTATTCGAATTATTCAGATACTTTGTACTACTCAAATACTTCGTACTATTCGAGTTACTTGAATTTTCCGTACTGTTCGAAATAATCTAATTATTCGAATAAATTGTTCGT